GCCTGAGTAATAGACACATGTTCTTACATTTCTAGAACCTCTTTGACAGGCATATTTTCAACATCTTTATACATAATGGATTTTTTTACACGTAGGTCGCTAAAGAGACCCAAAAAAAGTCTCCCCCCCCCCCGAAAGCATGTTACTTTTAGACACAATATGTGTTTCTTGGCATTTTCTGCAGTAAATGCTGACGTACTTTCAGGAGTGTACTGTTCAACAAGTCACACATCACACAACTTTTGTATATTACAACAACAAAAAAACAAAACAAAACAAGCTCAAAAACGACTAGAAAAAAGTAGAAAAAGACAACTAAAACATCAACTAAAAAAAACAACTTAGCCCCTACCCCCCCCCACCCAAACAAACAAATAAACAAAAAAAACAAACCCACCAAACAACAAACATACAAACAACGAGCGCAACAATTGGTTGCTGTTAAGCACAAGAGGGCTTTCCGAAAAATGCTGTTTTGAGAAAATCGAAGGTAACCTTTTTGGACCCTTGTTCAGTTTCTTTAAAAGATAAGGAGAGTGTTCTCTATAACCTAACAAATATATACACCAATGAAACCAAACTTCTCCTATAGGTAGGGCAAAGCCCTCTTTTGAAAACCCCCGAAATCTGGGTTAGGCCGCTTGTCCTTAAAAGAGACTAATTCAGAAACAGCTCACTTATCAAGTCATAAAATGTGACAGTCGAGGCCAGCCAGGGTTGTCTTCCATGAAGGGGCAGCATCTACTGTTTTGCCTCAACGTATTGAGCAAACCATCCACGGTCGTCTTGTCACTGAGATAAGCTCGGTCCGTACTTTAAGGGTACTGAATGATGAAATTCCTCTCCCACTTACTTCCTTTTTCATGTAATTAGCTTTCGTCGTCGTTTCCGGAAACACTTTCTTGCCCTGTCTGTCCGGTTCCGAAATCTGTGTTATTGACGCATATTATTTATTGGTCTTCATACTAGTTTTCTTGTACTTCAACACATTTAATGTAGATTTGAGCGCACATTTCTGTGAATCTTGTTGGCATTTGTGAGTAAAGGCTCCCTATCTAAATTTGGCAGTGTCCAAGGATACTCAAGCTTCAGAGAGCAGTCAAGTAAATAAGGTTAATAACTTGGAATAGTTTTCACCGTTCTGGTGGTCCAAGAAAAATATCTGTTTTAAGGGGG